TGTATCATAATTTATTTAATTGCAAGTATGTTCTCCATTTTGTAAACGAAAATGTATCGGCTTTAAGACGAAATTGTTGTAATTAATTGTTTTTGAATGATAAAATGTTCTTATAAAATTTTAACATATTTGAGCAGATATATCTATCTATTACAAAATAGGTTGGCATTCTGTACGTGTTTAAAACTGAGATAACTGGCGGCCTCTTGTGGTCAAACTAATTACACAAGCAAAATAAATAGTTTGTAAACCAATTAATAAGCGTCGCAGGTTTTATAACAAATTGGTCATAATAGAATTAATGTTTGACCAATTATCTTTGATTTTGAAAACTAAAAGTTGTTTTTTTAACTCTCCTGCGTGTGATCAATTTTTTGCCGAATAATTTATTTATTTTATCAATATTTTTATGTGCATTTGTGAGCATAAGTTCTTTCTCGATAGTCTTTTGATGTAATTCTAGATCTATTTGTTTAGAATTTGAAAGTATCATCCTCAAACATAAATACTTTAGTATTATGGGCCGGTTGTGCGAGAAATTCCTAGTATATTTATTATATAAGAAAATTGGAGAGTGCATGGTTGGTCGACACGTGTCTGCTCTCTCCATTCGTTTATTCCGCTTCCTTCCGCCTTTTTGTGTTCCATTTTTAAAAATAAAAATAAAAAATTCGGGGGTACGATGGTCATTTTCTGCTCTTTTTGTGATGATATTCCTTTGTTTTCTTTCTTTCGCTCATTTTTTGTCGGCCATTGCCTTCTCCCTATCGACACTTGAAAATGAGATAATAGACATTGGAGATGATGATGTAAAAGCCAGCAAGGAGGAATGTCAACTTAGTCTCTTTGGGAAAGTTGTATGAGATAAACGCGCAAATCAAGTGGGCCTTCAGAAAGCAATGAATCAAATTTGGCGATTGAAGCACTCAGTCGAGGTAAGGGAACTAGAGCCCAACTTTTTCCAATTCATTTTTGGAAGCAAAGAGGATCTGAGCAAAGTGGAAGGGGGCACAAATTGGATCTTCGAAAACCAATATCTCGTACTCAAACCATGGTATGAAAAACTGAAAAGTACGGATTTATGCTTTAAAGAAATTAATTTTTGGGTCCAAATTCATCATGTACCATTGGATTGGTTAACAACGGAAGTGGGACTTAAAATTGCCAGAATTTTCAAGTCTGTGTCAAATGTTCTGGTATGCAATCTAGGACCCCATGGAGGTAGGCTTATTAAACTATTAGTCACAGTGGACATCAATGAAGCATTGCCACGATGTGCATCCATACGACTGGGATCACAATTGGTCACAGTTACCTTCAAATACAAACGCTTGGTAAATCTTTGCTTCTATTGTGGAAAAATAGGACACATAGAGAAGAATTGCAACCAAAGAATGGAGGACGTCAAAGCTAAGACCTTGAAAGAGGGGCAGTTTGGAGAGTGGCTTCGAGCAGCTGAGGGTTTGGAAAGCCAGAATTGGAATAGCACCAATACCAACTCTTTTTCTGATCATATCAAAGACCAAGAAGCGCCACGATCCAACACCAATGAGATGACAAACAGCCAGGACATTACAAAGCAACCATCTCCAGAACAAATAGACAGTTCCAAAGATGATGCACAATTCATTCCAGACAAAGATTTCAGTACATCTTGCAAAGAAGGAGCAAAACCATCAACAAGCTTAGATAAGCATCTAATGATTTACACAAAAGCACTCCCCATCCACCAGCCACCAAGTGAAGCTCCTACAAACACTAATAACCAGGAATGGAGGTGGAACCACAAACTAAAACTCAGAATGCTAATCATCAAGAAATAGAAATGGAGCAACAGGCTCACAAACAGCAAACCTCAATAGTGAAAACTTGGAAAAGGGTGGATCCTAAGGAGAGTAGGCCTAAAAAAGATTCAGATTCTCTCCAAACTCAACAAGGCACACCAACTTCAAAGAGGCACAGAGAAGACACAACTCACATTGGTACTTCTCTTTCTTATAACTCCCTACCTTTTGAACAGCAAAACAAAAAACATAAAACTTTTTCTGAAAAGGAGATGAGGGCCAGCCTTCAAGAGCCCTCACCATCCCCATGAATGCCTTGGTGTGGAACTGTAGAGGTCTGGGTGGGCCCTCTACAGTTCCCCAGATCAAGGAATCCATAAGGATCCACCACCCTTCTCTTATTTTTCTATCTGAAATTAAAAAAAAAAAAAAAAAAAAAAAAAAAAAAAAAAAAAAAAAAAAAAAAAAAAAAAAAAAAAAAAAAAAAACAATGACCTTTACTCAGAGAGTGTGTTACAAACTGGGATATGACGACAGACACTATATTGTTCCACCCAGGGGAACTAGAGGTGGTATGGTACTTCTGTGGGACTCCAGTACTGAGATTATTCAAATCCAAAGCCAACCTTTTTTCATAGCAGTGAATTATATGGATAAACAGCTAAATGTACCATGCTGGGCAATTTTTGTTTACCTCAGTTCCTATAAATCTGACAGAGAAGCCCAATGGGAGTTGCTACAGTATGAAAAAAGGAAATGGGGGAAATTGTGGTTCATGGCAGGCGATTGGAACGACCTTTGTAAACCAGAAGATAAAAAGGGAGGCAAAACAAGATCAAAATCCAGCTGCTGGGGTTTCAACAATTTTTTGGCAAACATGGGGGTACAGGAAATCACTCACAGAGGCCTACAGTTCACTTGGGCTAATAACCGAGTAGGAGAAGGCTTTGTAGAAGAGATCCTAGATAGAATGTTTGCCCCACTTGAATGGCTTCATCACTTCCCCTCCACTCAGGTGACCAACTGGTTCAGAAGTGCATCAGATCATGGCATGCTCATCATTCAAACCAAAGAAGCTATGAACAAACACAAAAAACGATTCCAATTTGACAAACGATGGCTTCAAAAAGAAGGGATAAGGGAGCAAGTCACATCAGCCTGGAGAGAAGAACAATTAGGCACACCAATGTACATCATTAAGGAGAAAATCAAAAGAACCAGACAATCACTACTCAATTGGAGCAGATATTTCCATTCTGACCATACAATCAAAGTCAACAGACTTACCTTGCAATTGGAAGAATTAAGGACAGCTGGGGGAGATAGGGATTGGGAAACCTGGGACAGAATTCAAAAGGAGATAGATGAAGCCAACCTCTCTGAAGAAATTTACTGGCAACAGAAAGCTAGGACACTTTGGTTCAAAGAAGGAGACAAAAACTCCAAATTTTTTCATGCCTATGCTGCTCAAAGGAGAAAAATGCATACCATTGCAAGGTTGCTAACTGAAGAAAATACCATTGAGGAGGACCCTGTGAAGATAGAGCAATTAGTGGCAGAATATTATAAAAAGTTGTTTGCATCAACTGGTTCTAGTAGAGGTCATGAACTACTACCCCTGATCCAAAAAACAGTTTCAGATGACATGAATATGGCACTTACAGCTCCAGTGGAGGATGAGGACATAAAAAATGCAGTGTTTTCAATTCATCCTGGCAAAGCTCCTGGAGAAGATGGAATGACAGGGCTTTTTTTCCAGCACTTCTGGCCTATAATTGGGGAGGACATTTGCTATGCAGTTAAGAGTTTTTTCTCTTCTAGCCAGCTTCTCAGGTATTGGAAGCACACTCTCATCACATTAATTCCTAAATGTAACAATCCTACATCTATTAAGCAATATAGGCCTATCAGTTTATGTGCAGTTTTTTATAAAATTATCTCCAAAATATTGGCACTAAGACTCAGGCATTGTTTGAATGACTGTATTTCTGAAAATCAAGCAACATTTTTACCTGGCAGACAGCTGCTTGATAATGTAGTATTGGGGCATGAAATTTTTCACTTTTTGAACAGACATAGATCAGGGAAAAATTGTTTCATGGCTTTAAAATTAGACATGGCAAAAGCTTTTGACAGTGTAGAATGGAAATCTATTCAGTTAACTATGATCAGGATGGGGTTCTCTCCTTTGTTTGTTAAATGGATAATGGCTTGCATTCAATTTCCCACATTCTCTTTCAATCTTAATGGCAAAGTTAGTGGTTTTGTTACTGCATCAAGGGGAATCAGACAGGGGGATCCCTTATCCCCCTATCTATTCATCATTATATCTGAACTTTTATCAGCAAAAATTAATAATGAATCTGAAAAAGGGAATTACAAGGGCATCAGAATTTCAAGAGGTGGCCCCTTGCTCACTCATTTATTATTTGCGGATGATACTCTCTTATTCTGCAAAGCTGATGAATTTCAGGCTAATAAAATTCTCTCTATTCTACAAGCTTATAACTGCTTCACAGGACAACATGTCAATTGGGCTAAATCCTTTATATTTTTCAACAAAAACATTCCCAGAGACCTACAAGACAAATGCTGCCAAATACTAGCTGGAATTCAAATACACACATCAACCAGATATCTTGGTCTTCTACTAGGTATTGGTAAATCAAAAAGGGAGTCTTTTGAATACATCCTTACAGTGGTTAAAAAAAGAATATTGGGTTGGAAAAATAAATGGTTATCCACAGCAGGTAAAGAAATTCTTATGAAAGTTGTGTTAAATGCCCTCCCCATTTTTGCCATGTCATGTTTTGTATTGCCAGTGGGATTATGCAAGGAAATAGCAAGCACTTGCAGTCAATTCTGGTGGAGCAAAAATATAGTCTTGCACAGAGGAATCCACTGGATCTCTTGGGACAAACTAACTCTGAGCAAAAGGCATGGAGGCTTAGGCTTTCAAGATATTCAATTATTCAACACTGCCCTTATATCAAAGCAGATTTGGAGACTGGTGACTCAGCCCAATACACTGGTATGTAGAGTACTAAAAGCAAAATATTTTCCAAACTCATCCATTTTTTATGCCCACAGACAGCAAAATGCATCTTGGCTATGGAGCAGCTGGCTAACAGTTTTGCAGAAATGTGAGAAGTGGATGCAAGTGGAAATCAGAAGTGGCCACAATACAAGGATATGGGATCAACGCTGGATACCCAATCACATTGGCAAACCTGTCCCACTTCTGGAGGGCATTGACAGAAGACTAAACTGGGTTAAAGACCTAATGACCTCTGATGGCTGCCACTGGAATGAACAAAAAGTCAGGAACACATTTCCACCAAGTACCTGTGAAGCAATCCTTAGCATTAATACTCTCAACCCCAACCAACCTGACAGATGGACATGTAACCTAAACCAAAAAGGCATTTTTTCAGTTAAATCCACCTATGCTCATCTGATCACAGAGAAATTTCTTCAAATAAACCTGCCACAAGGAAGTAACTCAGGAAGCTGTGAGCTAAAAGCTAGAACTAGAACATGGAAGCTTAAAGTCCTGGGTAAAGTAAGACACTTCATATGGAAATGTTACTCTGGTGCTTTACCTGTCAACCTCAATTTAAGAAACAGATGGGTAGAGATAGATGTGATCTGTGCAGTCTGTGGAGAAGCTGAGGAATCAATTGAGCATACACTATTCCAATGCCACCAAGCAAAACAGGTGTGGAAGCTAGCACCAGTCAGCTGGGAGGGGCCAAAGCAGAATGAATCTTTCAAGTCCTGGTGGTGGCAAGTATGTCAGCTGGATAAAAGTGACACATCAGAGGCAAGACTACAATTATCCACTTACATACTCTAGTGGTTATGGAAGTGTAGAAACTTATGGGTGTTTAAAAAAATTAGAAGACCTGCACCTTCCATTGTTTATGCAGCTGTTAAAGATTGGAAATCTTATAAGGAGGCAAATGGGATCAGGCCTCAGGAGCTTTAGTTTGCGTTTTGTATTTTATCCTTTCTGCTTTTCTACTATGTATCTTTTAGTATGAAGGGGTAAGGGCCTCGGTTGCATATAACTGCCTTACCCCTGTTTTTTTTCTTCTCTTCCTTTTATGGAGATGATCCATTCTCTAGGCCACTCTCATGTGTGGTTCTCCCAATGATCGGCTTTGTTGTGATATTGTTATTGTAAGGACAATTGTGTATCTGTTTGTTGTGTTATGAATGAGATAATCTATCGTTTGAAAAAAAAAAAAAGGACTTTTATTAAAGATAAGAAATGTGTCGGGAAGTTTCTCAATTCGTCTCAAACGTCATTCACACACCACGTACAGTACACGGTTATTCTCAGCTCACACACAGTAGCAGCCCTATTCATGGAAATCGACGGCAATCCAACCAGCCTAATCAAAGACAACGTCTTGTTCAAGGCGGCGGAGTCCGACTCGCCCTGAGCCGACTCGGTGGATTCTCCTCCTCCGCAAACCCTAGGTTTCTCATCCGCCGCCTCTGATTCGGGCCACCCTATTTACTGGCGATGGAATTAGGCTTGACATCGCCGCCTTCAATTTTACGTAGTGTTTGGTTCAAGGGAATCAGAGGGGAGGGGAAGGGAGGTGAGGGAAACTTTTAATTTTCTTCTGTTTGGTTCACTCTTTTGTGGAGGGGAGGGGATGAGATTTTCCCCTCTAATTCATGCGCAGAGGAAAATGGCTCCCCCTCCAATTTTGGGGGAATTTGGAGGGGAGGGAAAATATTAAGACACTCAATTACAATTTTATCCTTGTCATATATAATATTTTAATTTTTATTTTAACATCATTAAGGATACATTTGTCATTCTAACATTATTTTCCCTCCCCTTTCATTATCTAACCATACAAGGTTTGCCATTTTATCCTCCAACAAAATCCTTCCAAACAAGGTAAAATTTATATCCCCTTCCCTCCCCTCCATTAAAATCCCTCCCCTCCCTTTCCCTCCGTTGAACCAAACATAGCCTTATGCCGTTTGTTTCAAATTCTTCGATTTTTTTTTTTCTGTCTGTTATTTCGGCACTTTCGGTTTTGACGTGACAGACAGAGCGAGACCCGACGAGGCGGGGACATAAAGGGCGACACACTGCGAGGCTCTGGCGGGAGCTTCCAGTGCACAGGCCCAGGAGAAATCTAGAGAGATATTAGGTATTGATGGCTAATCTTTCACCTTTGATTTTTGTCATACGCTACTATTTGTTAAATACCTTGCATATGGATACAATAGCGGTGATGCTTTATCCTATATACTTCTCATCATTAGCAGTTGGCTTCCAGCTTTGTCCTGGTATTTTGCCCAATATTTGTTCAACCCATCTGTATTTGAGTAGCAAAAGTAAGTTGTTCTGTTCAGTGTTCATATGCATATTTTCATGCTTTCAGTATTGCTGATTTAAAATATTCTATCTTTTTAATTAAGGATTGTGGAGGCCTTGCAATATTGGACAAATTGGCTTCTTTACAGTGGTGGGATTGGAGTTAAAGGAGAGGAAACAAGAGAGGCTTGGTGGGATGAAGAGTCGGTATGACCTGTGATCTTAGTTTAAAATCTTATATAATCATGAAAATTTAAAAATTAACACTCCGTCTATTCTGACTCAGCTTTGAGCTGCAGACTAATGCCAAAATAAATGCTCCAGTTACTCATCGAAGTTTGAACCTAAGTGCGGTCTATCCCTCTCAGAGTGCATCCTTTTTTTTTTTTTTTGCAATAAGAATTTTTAGATTAATGTTACTATTTTTTTGGTAATTTGTTGATTTGTTGGACTTTTTGGATAAAATGTTCACTGTAGTACTCAATGTAAGATTTAACTTTTTATTTTACTTTTAATTAACCTTTTATTTTACTTATTAATTAACAATTGTATTACCATTTTATGTGTATGTATGTATGACAAAACAGGCTCACCGGTCTGATTTCTTATAAAAAGTAAAATAGAAAAAATTAAAATCATATGGGCCGGCTGTGTTTAACACAGCCGTATTTTTCTAGTTAGTTATTAGATATTGTTATACCGATTCGGACAATTGCACCTCGTGGACTTTTGTTTTGTCTCTAGTAATATTGCTCCTTTTTGTCAACCCAATTTCCTAATAAAAAATCGGCTCATGTGATTAGTTTTAAGCATAAAAAAAATACTATCACCTACCGAATCTCAGAAATTTATTTATGTTAATATATGATGGAAAAAAGTTCTAACATTATGCAAGTAAATCAAGTTTCTTTATGTTACAACACATCTAAATTCTAATGTATCAATTAAATTTTGGCGAATGATACCACGAGAAACAGAGTTCCATTTTATTTNAAAAACTAGTTAAAAACGTAGGGAAAATGCTCATGTCCACGGTTGGCATTGGCAACTTAAAAAAGAAAAAATATATATGTTAATCGTTCACTGTTGAATACTAAAATGTATTCAATTCATGTAAAAAGATGAGGTGATTTTTCAATCCTCTACCATCTTATATTAATATCTTATGTCAACACATTCCCTAATTCCTGTGCAGGCAGGAAAGCAGAAATGTAATGATATATACTTATATGCATATCTCATATCGATGAGGCAAGACTTTTTATTTTAACATTAATTGAAAAAAATAATGTCATTTTCCGTCTACTATTTCAATTAAATTAAGACCAACTCAAAACGCTCTTCGTATTAATCTTTTTAATATTGACTTACTAAGCTCTCATTTCATATATTTTTAGCTCTCTATCTAACCTTTCTATTTTGTCAACTCTCTACTTCTTATCACTTCAAAAAAGTATATTGTACAAATATTAAGGGGGTGATTGGATATGAATTCAACTAGTAAAAAATTAGTTATTTTTTAACTATAGTTAAATTTGAAAAAATGTGGTATGGTTAATTGTTAGTGGATATATTAAAATAATATTTAAAATAAAATAATTAAAGTTGATTTGGTGTAAAAGTAAGGGAAATGATTGAGAGTGATAGTTAGTTAAAATTATGTGAGTAGATGAATAGTGAATTAAAGTTGACGTGATGTATAAGAATGATTGGTTGATATTATTTAATTATATTGATAATATTAGAAATAGTGGAGTTGAGTTAAAGTTGAGTTGAATTTGAGTTTTGATTGGTCTTTTACTGTAGAATTTATATACAATCGCCCCCTAATTGATTAAAGTGTTAAATAAAATGATAAGAAATAACATATAAATAAAGTAAGAAGTACAAATATTAAATTACTAATTGTGACCACATGCAATAAAACCTTAACTATAAAAAATTTGGGTATAGTTCCGTATTTTTAGAAATACCAAAACAATATTGGCTTTATACTGAAAATTAAATTACAGACTAAAATTCTGGCTGAAGTGCTGAAAATATCATATTTTTATTTTTATTAATATTAATATTTTTAATAAATATTTTTTTTCTTAATTTCAAAGTGCAACACTTAATTTTAACATGCTCTAATTCTTAGCTGACTTTTAGTAAACTTTTAGCATTAATTAGATTAATTTTATATAATATTTATATTATAAATTTAACTAATGTCTTATATATAATTTCATAACGTTAGTGGCAGACTCACATACTTAGTTGTCAAAAATCTATGTTTTGGAGTTGTCACATTAATTGTCAACTAGGTTTGGATATTTTTAAGATTTTTTTTTTTTTTTTTTATTATTATTCTAGTTGGTCCGAGTCTTTTTTGTGTTTCTCTTGGGTTTCAGCCTACCCCGACTTGCTTGAGACTAAAGGCTATGTTGTTGTTGTTGTTGTTGTTCTTGCAGAATTTCACGCATCAAAGCAAATTTTACTGATCTTGTTGTATTTTACTGATATATTTTATCATTCCTGCTATATGGATCCAAAACAGGCTAAAAAATTAGGTGGATTGTGAATTGCTATTTATACTGACCTGAATATGTCGAAGATTGAACTCAAATGCCTTACCAATTGATATTAAGTGATGTTCTTGCAGAGTTTNTTAAATCATGTCAAACCTTGAAAAGATAAGTATTTTGAATAAAAAAAAAAAGACAATTTCCATAAAATTAAAAGAGTGGAACGTTACAAGAGAGTGCAACATCAATACGACGTTAGTTAGTATCCGTTGTATAAAAAAAATATTATTAGTTTATTATAAATGTATCATATTTTATTAAATTTATAAACTATTTAAAAAATTATATTTTTAACAAAGATGAATAAAAATAATAACATTAATTGTAAGTGATCATATTAGAGTGTTAAAATATTTCAATATATTTTAAATATATGAGTTGAAATAAAAATAATTGCTTGAATTGACTGTATAAATATAAACATTGGCACAAAACAATCAACTCAAAAAGAAATTTACAAAGTTACAATCCAGTTCGGAAATAACTTAGAAAAATTTAGAATCAATTTCATAGAGTTGGAGTAAATATTTGTTTCAAACGTATTTTTATTTATACTAAGCTCATGTAGCACTCAATAATATTGATATCCAATGTCGTAAGATATGGGTAAAAAAATATTAGATTAATGTGATTAAAAAGTTATCATTTGACAAGTCACATATAATATATGAATCTCATTATGAATAAACTAAAAATGTAGTTTTCAAATAAGTCAACAACTTAGTATATACTTATTATTTAAAAATTACCTATATATATATAAAATTTTAAAATATAAGTATAAAATGTATATATACTTAAATTAAGATATATTTTGTATTCATCTTTTTAAACTTTATTATTATTATATATATATATATATATAGAGAGAGAGAGAGAGAGAGACCGGGCGGATCCAAGGCCCCAGGAATTTTATATTTTGTATAATATATATTTTTAAGAAAATAAGTATAAATTAAGTGATTTTATAAAAATAATTTATTAATATAGTTGTTTATTAATTAGGTTTTTTTTTTCCACTTTTTTCTCTTATAAATTTTTTTATATTGCAATGTCTTATTTATCCGTTATATCTTTAAATAAATTTATCGTGACTTTGCATGCTATTATAATAATTATAATAAATTTATCAACTAAGAGATTGAATTATAATAAATTCTTTCATCCAACATCGAAAAATATGATCACTCTCCTACCCACGGCGAGTATTAATATTTTAAAGGATTGACATACATTGTATGACATGTGATTAATTAATTATGAGATCTTGACATATATATATAACTTAATGTGTTTGCAGTTGGTAGATGAATAAATTTGTATTGATAATAACACATTTAAAGTAATTGGAATGGATAATAATACTAAAATATACAAATTGTAGGGTGTTTTGATATTTCATTTTGAATTATGTAAAAAAATAAAATTATATGTAATGGTAACACATTTAAAGTAATTGGAATGGATAATAATACTAAAATATACAAATTGTAGGGTGTTTTGATATTTCATTTTGAATTATGTAAAAAAATAAAATTATATGTAATGGTAATTTTGTATGTCTTATATTGTGCCATTTTTTTATTTTTTTTTTCGTTTTTTCAGTTACCACAAAATTTTGGCCCCACCTCATTCAATTTGCTAGATCCGCCCATGTATAGATATATATACATATATATATATATGTATATTGATCTATATTCATGTAGTACACGAGTGTTGTACTAGTATATATTAAAGACAAAATACCAATTAAACCGGGTACAATGAGTTGTCCCATAAGATTGTCGTTACAATATTTTAAACAATACCAACTCGATGTTCAATAATAATAATGGAAGCATAGAGGGCGTTTGCTTATTAAAAAATTAATACTTATACTCAATTTACACTCAAATTTAACTCAATTTTAAATCATCTCAACTACACTTATAATTAAATAATATCAATCAATCATTCACACATCGCATCAATTTTAATTTAATATTCATTAACTCACCATCATTTCACATCATCTTTCTCATACTTTTACATCATAACAACTTTATTATTTTATTTTAAATATTACTAGTACGACACTCGTGTACTACACGAGTTGTTTGGAAAAAAAAATATAAAACAATAAATAATAGAAAAAACACATGTTGTCGTATAAAAGTGCAAAAATAGAAAACAAAAATATTCAGGCTCTATATAATTGACAATTTAAATTAAACCCAAAGTAATGTTTTATATAAAATTAAACTATTTTAGTTTAAAAAAATTAATATTTTGACATATGCTTCCTAATTCAACACCCGTGTATTTACATGGGTATTTGTGTTTAAATATTTTTTTTTCAGGCTTGTTGAATTAGTGAAAAGGAAATTGACTGTTGAGATAAATGCAAAACAAAAGACTATATTTGATCATCTTGTATATCTACAGGGGAAAACAAATGTAACTCTATCAACATAATACCAAATTAAAGATTTTCTAGAAATTTCTTAAACATAACGCAGAGGATAAAATGCATTGTTGATATGCCAGAACCAACACAAACAAATTACAATTCAAGTATATATATATATACTGACAATAATTGATGTAGTAAAATAACTCGAATTATAATACCTATAGCTCATATGATAATAATCAGAAGGTGCATACGAAGGATAAGGTATTGAATTGAAACCACCGTGTACCTTTTCGTCTAAGACACAAATCTCCATTTCAACAAGATTTTCAGGTTAGTTCTTGTCATGTTTGAACCATACAAGCTCACAACGGACGCGTATTTTCCATGTTCCTTTAGCCGATGTTATTTCT